ATGCTATACAATTTTAATGAATCAGGAGGCACAGCATTTGAATATAAATTTTGTTTCTCAACTTCTTTACAATCTACAACTACAGATATGGCTACGTAAAAGTCGCTCATAAATAAAGTCCTAAAATAGTTTTACAAAGTAATTAGAGATCGTAAATTTAGGAAAAAGGTTTACAGAATAAAGAAACTTTTATTAAATAAGCACATTAAATGAGTACTTACAAACACCCGGCTACTGAAAGTCTCAACAATTTTATCAATAAAACCACCAATTTGAAGTCGTACAATGGTTGGGTAGGTACATACATATCTATGTATGTAAGTCTTAAAAGGGCAATAAAAAAAACTAACTAGAAATTAAGATTTAAGGAAAATTGTGGAATGACATAACATCACGCCTTTTATCCCCGAAGGGGTAGGCAGGCAAGGTGCACACAGAAGTAACACCCACTTTTCACTATTTATGTTTTGAGTCCCTTGTAATAGGGGGTGAGCCTATTGCCCTATACCGGGCACAATTTACACTCCATGCTACTACTGAGATTTTTTTAAAAACCCAGTGGTACTTTGCCTGACCCGGGAATCGAACCCAAGACCCCTTGCCCGGCAGTCGCACTTGCTACCACTCGGGCAACGAGGCAGTTATGTGAAATAACATTACCTATGGAATATTAATCTTTATGTACTATATTTTTAAGTAACTATTATTTTAAATCTGTTATGATTTGATAATAAATAACAAAAGCAATTCAATGCTGCTGAAATGACATACGACAAATGAAATCATTTGATTTATTTGAACATGGGTCTGACAGACCTTCCTAAAATTTCGATAAAGTCTAGCAACTAGGTATTGGGCATGTATGTCAATATTATTTGCGGGCAAGCCCGCCACAACCTCCCTAAGCTACTGCAAATTCTGTAAACCAGGATCTACAGTAGACACAACCATACAATTACTGGAGCAATGGAGTCCAGTGCGTCCCAAGGACATAAATAACTGTCTTGGTTCTCAGTACGAAATACATCAGAAGATATTATAAAAGGAGAAGAAAAAAAAAAAACGATTAAAGACGATAGATTCCACTTTATCTGACAGTATGTTGCAATAACGACTGATAGTATCATAGCTGGTAAGACAATCAGGTCATATTGACCCTTATAAAAATGTACTTTATAACCCATAAAATGTAATACTAAAGTTCATAAAATAAGATCGTAATCAAACCTAAAAGATTTTATGTAACTCCGACAAAGACATAATTCTATCGTAAAATTAAGTGGAACATAACAAGTAAAAAGTAGTCTTAAGTCATAACTAATTCCTGTGTAGAAAAATTATTCAATACTTAATAGAAATAATAAGAAGAACTATAAAACTTCTATCTGGCCTGGTAGTAAGCGATGATACGGCCTACGATGATACACGTTAAGGATGAAGCTTATCGAACTTTACTAATTCAAAAACAAACCAAAGAAAAACAAATTTAATATTCATGACCATGGTAAAACAGAAAAAAAAGAATTTGATATTCATGGTCTATAAAAACATAGAAATACGAATAGAAATCATATAAATGTAGATTAATATATAAAATCATATATGTATGTTATTTTAACTGTTACAACATTATTGACTTTGAACTCATACTTAAACACTCAATCTACAATCGAACCCACTCGTGACTGCCAGGACTATAAGCATAACAACTTCATTCGCACTTTGTAGTAGTCATAATATTAATTTTATGTAATGATTGCTCCTTTAGCGCGGTTTTACACGCTCTGCTCAGCTCTTATCGGTCGTAGCGTGATGTTTTATAGCCTATAGCCATGCTCGATAAATGCATTATCCAACACAAAAAAAAATATTCAAATCAGACTTGTAGTTACGGAGATTAGCGCATTCAAACAAAAAAACAAACTCTTCCGCTTTATATAATATAGTATAGTAGTACTTTACATATGTTGTGTATTTTATGTTACAAATCTTAGTATTCTAAATATCTTAGCTTTACGGGCTTTTAAATCGGTTTTTCATTCCAGAGGTTCTATTCGGCATCACTTTTCTAATTTTTATTGTATGTGTGTCCGTTGCTAGATAAAAGTAAACGTATATTAAACTCAAAACTAACATTATAGTGTTATAAACTACGTTTAAAAAACCGACATCAACTCCCTCTGTTTTGTAAGTCGATTAATCCTTACTTCCTTATCCTTACTTATATTATAAATCGGAAAGTGAGTTTGTTTGTTTGTTTGTTTGTTCCACTTTAACACCGTAACTACTAAACCGATTGCTTTGAATTTTTGCAGATGTATAGTTAGAAGTCCGGATTAAATAATAGGGTACTTTTTATCCCGGAAAAATTTGATATTCCCGAGGAAAAACAAAAGTATTGGTATAGATGTCGCTGTGTGTATATATCACATTGGCTTTTCATCCTTTTGTGACGCGAGCGAAGCCGCGGGTAAAAGCTAGTTATAAATAAACTAAAACCTTCTTCTTAGTGTAACACACTTTTCTAAAAACCGAATCCAAATCAAGTTCAGCCAATTCCGATAAAATATTAAATACATTTCAAACTGAGAACTTCCTTCTGTTTTGAAGTTTGTTAAAAAGAGAATATTCCTTCAAAAGCCTTTACCTAAATCCTCAGAGAATAATAATATAATGCACAATGTCATATCATGTATAATGCTACATAGCATGTCATCATTGTCACGCAGTTGTCTTCCTCGCAACCACTAAACATGTATATATGGAATCTAATCCTGACCACAAGATCTCCCCAGTTAACATAGTCGAAACGTTCATAGGCTAATTGCTTGACCATCAATCATTGTGCAGTTTCTAGAATTACTTCGAGAAAATCGTCAATGGCAATCATGCATGACTAGGTAACGTTAGATAATTTATAATTACGTTTCAATTTTAAAATATAATGCTTTGATGTTTTAATTTTTTAAGTTTAATGTTATATGCCGAGTAGTCGCAATCGTGACTGCCGGGCAAGGGGTTTGGAGTTCGTTTCCCGGGTTGGGCTAAGTAATACTGGATTTAAAAAAAATCTCAGTAGTTGTACGAAGTTTGGGATTGTGGCCGGTATATGACAATAAGCTTACCGCCTATTACATGGGACTCATAACATATAGGTAGTGAAAAGTGGAAAAATTACGTTGTACAATAGTAAATTGGGTAAAAGGCTAGATGCTATGTTAAATTTATTTATTACTTATAAAAATGTTGTATACACTACTAGTTATCGTTAAGCCTTAAATTCTCTTCCTAATTTGATACTATAAAGAACGAAACAAAGACAACACTTAATACAATACTTAATTGAAAATGATGACAATCAGTAAACGCACACGGTTAAGGGGCCAAGCACCCTTATAATAATTTCATTAGAAGCAATAAACGTGTACGAATTTCGCCCAAGGCATTTTCATAACAGCATTAATCTTATTCCACGCATTATTGACATACAGAAATAAACACAAACATGTCAGAATTTGATTCTCAATGTTTTCTTTACAAATATTGTGCACAAATATTTGACGTGAATAAAACTCTGCGAATGAAATGTGCTCTATATTCGTTTCGAACTGGATAAGGTCAGGAAAGGGTCGCGTTGACCATGAACAAAATTGTGGGAGGGACCTAGAAAATATCACTACGATGTTCCTGTAGTGCTTTGAGGCAGATTAAGGGTAGGTAGGTCTAGGCTGGATGGTTACTTTTTCGTTTTATGTTTAAGATATATGATATATATCTCAAAAACCGAACGTAAAGTTCTTTAATACACATTTGGAAAAATGATGACAGGTTGCTTGCCTGAATTGATGCGAGTGGAAACGAATTTATGTATGAACTAACAAAAAGGAACTCTTTGTTTTCATTCCTGGTTCAAACAATCTTCAGCAAGTTTTTTATAAACCTATCTTCAGTAACTAAGTGATGTGATAGATGAAAATAAAATAATTTACTTCATAAAATACGGTTTGAAATGAATGGAAAAAACAATTTCATGTAGACGACCAATTTTGAATGGATACCGAAATTCATCTCACTCGAATAAAATAGAAAAATCGTGATACGAATAAATGAATTATTCAGAAATATAGGTGGAACACTATGTACTATGAATATTCATAGATTTATATTGTCAAGTCGGACTGAATCTATAGACATACCATGTCTAGTTCCTATGTTCATGAATATGTAACAAAGAGGTAGTTGTCTGAGGTTCTATTAAATTATATTACTCCACGTCTTCCTATTAAACGTTTATGAGTTATGTCTGAAGAAGGGAGAATTAAACTACGACTACTGTTTACTAGTATAAAGGTAAAAGTGTAACTTTTTTTTTAATTCTCGAAGAGGTTGACAGTTATGTAAATACAATAAACGCCTGCAAAATATAACAACACGACTTTAATTTTGAGAAATAATCTTATAATGAAAAACGAAATAACAAAATAAAACGTTAAATAAAATAGATAATAGTATATTATATTATATTAGCTATTTTATTTAACTTTACGGATTAGTTTAAAAGTCTGCTTTTGAGCCATAGCAAATTCACCTTGCAATCACACCATTGTTCTAGACTGGTTAAATTTCCATTCAGAACACTATTACAATGGCAATCTATAAGCTGGAACCCAATTTGAGCTGCCTCAAGGCAAGTACACTCACCCTGAGGCAGTCGTGAACTGAAGCATTAAATGCCCACTTCAGCAGCTTCGCAGTAAATAGAGGCTGACGTCTATTTATCATTTACCGCGGCTTTGAACACAAGGAAAGTGGTCACCGTTTTAAAATGTTGTTTAAAAATAACTAGATTTCTTCAATTTTAAAACAACTTATGTAGTTGAAGTTTATTTACACAAACACTTACATAAGTAATACTACGAGTATGACAATCTCGACTTCAATATTAACGTTATGTTTGGTTGTTTCAGGTTATCAAAGCAGTTGAAGACGCATGACGAAACATGGACAGCGCAGGCAACAATACCACATTATATGACGATGATTCGTTATACCCAAGCGAATTGGCCCTTCACAGAGAATTCAGCCCGACTGAAAGTGTTATCAAAAACTACATACCATGGCCGATAGAAAAATGCCTGGAAACATTTCTTGTTAACGACACACATCCTGATGACGTTCCCAACCGTGTTTATGATTACAATGGCACGCAAGTCTTGTGTCTGGAGCATGCCCCAGTATTGACTAAAAGTACTCTTATTAGAGCGAGTGTGTTATCTGCTATGGCAATTCTATCGTTCTTTGGCAACTTGGCAACAATTATAAGCATACAGAAGGGAAAAAGAGGTCGAGGGAGAGCAAGACCGTCGTGGACAGCGATTTATAGTTTGATATTTCAATTGAGTATAGCTGATTTGTTGGTGACTGTATTTTGTATTGCTGGTGAAGCAGCGTGGTCGTTTGCGGTGCAGTGGTACGCTGGGAACATAGCTTGCAAATTGTTCAAGTTTCTGCAGATGTTTGCTTTGTATTTGAGTACTTTTATTCTCGTGCTTATCGGAGTGGACAGATGGCTTGCTGTGAAGTATCCGATGCGAAGTATGGCGACTGCAACAAGAAGTGGTAGACTCGTAATTCTCGCGTGGGCGCTGAGTTTTTTCCTAAGCTTGCCACAGGTCAGTGATCACTTTTATCTTTTAGAAAGTTCGTTTGATTTTGTTGTAAACAAAAGTAAGATACTAAGTTAAATGTCAAGTCAAAGGCTACTATCAGCCCACACTTTGGAAAGGCAATTAAAAGTTGTACACATAATTAAGAAGCTACAAACACAAAATGAGATTAAAAAGACAAGACATGTGCGACAAACTTAAATATTTATGAAGTAATATAAATTCTTTAGACATATTTATGGGCAAAGGTTGTCAATTACTGTGTATTGTTACAAAAATATATTTCGAAATTCGGGTCAGTTGGTCAAAATAACGTGATTTATTGAATACAGTGTAGCGAGGTTGAATCACGATTGTGGTCATTTTATTAAAAGCTTCTACTGCATAACAATTTCTCATACGTTATTGTGATTTGTATGAACGATAATATTGTGTTCGTAATGTCAACATTGTCACAAAGGCAACTGCTGAACATGAAGTTTTCGGTCCATTTTTGGGTTGACCCAAATAATTCGGGATTTATTTTTAAAATGCTTGAGGGTTTGAGCCCGGTATTTGACAATAAGCTTGACAGCTTGACATCAAATATTTCAACTTAATTTATTGGAATAAATAAATGATCCTGCTTACATAAAAATATATCAACGACAATATTTCTCAAATTGACGAGAGGAAAAAGGAAAAGAAAATTATAATACAGTTTAGAAAAATGTATTGGGTTCTGTCAACAGTTTTAGAGCATACCCGCAACTATTTCGTAACTATAAATTTACTTACTCAAGTATGGTTAATTTCCACTCCATAAACCTGTGATTTTTCTTCTGAAACAATAAAGTCTATGAATAAAAACGTAAACACAATTCCACACAATACAAACCGTTTATTCACTTGCGTACAGCAAAGGACACGACAATGACATTGAAAACATCTGTGTGGAATTTTTTTTTTCTGTTGACATTTTTTATTGTCTATCAATGGCAGTTAACGCGCATTTCAAAGTTGCTATTTGCAGATAAATTAATTATTTATACTAAGTAGAAATAAATAAATTATATCTCAGAGATAGATAATAATGAAACTAACCCACGTCTGCCAATTATCATAGCTTTAGTTTTGAAGTTAGATTATACATGTTACCAATGTTAATACGAATAATAAACTTAATAATAATTTATTTTTATCGTGCTGATCAAGTGGTTATTCACACAAACTGGCAATTTTATACAATTCAAAATATTCAGCTACATAAATATGTAGGTGAAACGCAAACAAATATTTCAATTTTCTAACCGTTCATTCAAACTCAATGTAAACCACAAACCACTGTAATGTTCAAAATTAAATGTTAATCCTTTCCGTGAATTAGTGAACAATTTATACACTATTATTCAGGTGCTTTACTCGTTATTATGTACGCACTTAATAAGCGGGTAACCACGGAAATATATGGCGCTTTCTAATAATAGAATCAGGTTTATGTAATGTCTACAGGATATGTCGTGAATAACAATATCTTTTGGCATTTCTTAAAAAGTAGGCAGAGAATATTAACAAAATTTAGACTAATTTATATTGTTGTATTAAAATTTAGAGTGAACATAACATCACGCCTTTTATCCCCGAAGGGGTAGAAAGAGGTGCACATTACGACACTTTATGCCACTGTCGAATGTAATACCTACCCACTTTTCACTATTTATTTTATACCGTACGTGGAAGTTCAACATTTTAATTTCAGTACAAAACAAATAACGAACGTTAGATCAGATATGAAGTCTATAAACGCATCGATTCCCCAAGGCAGTGTCATTGGATGTCTCTTATTTTTGATATACATCAATGACCTCCCAAAAATCATGGATGAGCCGTGTGTACTGTTCGCAGATGATATTTCTCTTCTTACCTCCTGCAACGATAACACCAACTTAAATGAAAAACTAGACTTTATATTAAATAAAACAATACAATGGATGGATAAACACAATCTAGAAATAAACTACAAAAAATCCAAACTTATGACATTCCACCCATACCAAAAACCTCCACTATCCGTGAACTACACAATAAACGGGACTAACATTGATGTCGAAAATTCTTTTACGCTATTGGGACTTACTATTGACACACATGTATCTTGGAAAACCCACATCCAAAATATAAAAACCAAAATCTCAAAATTTTGTTATGCATTTCGAGAAGTAACGAGGACTACTGATCTCCATACATCACTAATCACTTATTACGCATACGCACACTCGTGGTTCAGCTATGGTATTATCGTGTGGGGTAATAGTACGGACGCACCAGCACTTTTTGTAATGCAAAAAAAACTAATTCGCATACTTACGAACATTGAACAGACTGATAGCTGCAAGCCTCTATTTATAAAACATAAAATATTAACTCTCCCTTGCATATACATCTTGGAGGTGTGTAAATTCGTCAGGAAATATAACGGGTTCTTTATAAAGCGTGGAGACAAAAACACTGATCGCGCCGTTAGACATAAAAATATGTTAATGCTACCCACATCTCGTATTACACTACATTCAAACGGCACATATGTAATGGCAATAAAAATCTATAACAAGATACCTGAATCATTAAAAGCCGAGATGAGTGACAAAAAATTCATTAATAAAATAAAAAATATATTGGTTGAAAAGGCTTATTACACCCTGAACGAATACATGAGTGATAAATACATAATATGTACACAAGACTGAATATAACTAAACAACTAACTATTTAACAATATTCCATAGTATTAATTATATCACGGGTTTACGAATTTACTGTAACGTTATGTAGTTGTTTGTATTGTTATGTAGTGTTAATGATCTCATGTAGAATAATAAAATGATAAGTATTGGAGTGCAATATTAAATTGGTATGTAAGTGGTTATTGTAGTATTTGATAATGTTTTTGTGCCATATTAAGGTAATAAGTTAATTTTAATTTAAATTTTAATTATAATTTAATTTTGATTTTAATTTAATTTTTTTAATTTTAATTTAATTTAATTTTAATTTAATTTTTTTAATTTTAATTTAATTTTTTTAATTTTAATTTAATTTTTTTAATTTTAATTTAATTTTTTTTAATTTTTTTAATTGAATTTTTTTTTAACTTTAAAACAAATTATTAAAAATAGTTGTATAAGATTTGAAATAATTAAATTATTGCATTAATTAAAAATATTATTTTGTAAGTAGAGTAAGTACTTTTGCGGTGCCCAAATGGGCCTATAGTTGGAACATATTTTGTCATAAATTGTAAACAACCCTGTAAACACTATAGATGCATTAAAGTGATTTGAATTTGAATTTGAATTTGAATTTACCCGGCACAATTCCAGGTTCCATGTTAGTATTGAGATTTTATTTAAAAAACCAAGTTACTTTGCCCTACCCGGGAATCGGCCCCTTGCTCGGCAGTCGCACTTGCGATCACTTGGCCAACGAGGAAGTCTATTTTTTATTTAAGAAGAGTATGAGCTAATAACTAACTATCTTAGATAGTTCCGTGCTCTCTGATATCGCTAGTGATTGTAAACACTACCTGATCGGAGTCTTAAAACCTCATATCATACTCAGTAAGCGATCAAGGAGGCAGTCAAGAGAACCGCAATAAAGTGCCTACTCACGCGTAACTACAACCACAAGAGCAACGAAGCGTTCAAGGAAATAAGCACACGTTTTATACTTTCCTTACTTTACTTTCAATAAAACAACAAAAACAATGCCATTTTGAATTGACAGCAAACGTAATAAATCCTTCGAAAAGTCAATGATAGTATTACATAAAATCGACAATAATGCATTTTATTTCGTCCACAATAAAAACGGGAATAAAACTGAAGTCTTGTTCAATAAAAACAAAATCTTAGAAGCTGCTCTCTCTCGTCTCGATTGCAATCAATATCGTGCTCTTGTAAAGTCCGACACACTTCTCACGATTGATCGTTTGCTTGACATAAATCGAAAAGAAATCTCAAAACAATGCGGTGCTTTTTTCTTTGTTGGCTTTGTTTTGAGTTAAAGGGGAATATTGAGAAATTGTTTTTCTTTTGAATTGTAAGTTGTAATGGATGGGGTTATATTTAATACTATTGACGAGTTGAAGATTTTACATTGCTGAATTTTACCAAAATCTCTTGACAATACAACGACAAAATCACTCATACAAAATATAAGATCCGTGACGTAATTTAATTCATTCACTTTTATTTGTATTCTACAATATATTGCAATACATATAATATATTGCCGAATTATATATGGGGTCTTTCAAACCGTTAAATTCAAAGCATATTCTTGCACCCGCTGATTACTTTCTCTGCATCACCCAAGGGTCAGACTGGTAGAAAATGCCTGCGGCATTAAGTCCACCCATGTACTTGTTTGTGTGCATAAAGCTTTTTAAATAAAAATAAATAATATATTCAACAATTTTAACGATATAGTCACGATAAATCTGAAAGTATAAAGGGGACTTCAAAGGTCGTATAACACAAGAACATTTGGCTGTCAAACTTTTAGAATTCCTAGCGCTTTACTTAAAGTAATTGGCGAGACTGTGCTGTCTCCTACACATTTTGCTCACGGAATATTGTTAGGTAATATTACTCTTTGAGACATGCAGGGAAATTGTCTTCCTTGCTTCCTTCATGTTAGAAGTTATTACGTACATAATGTATGAGTAACTAACAACAACTAACTATTTTGATATTAATTGCATGTTTTGTATTATGATGCCTAGTGAAACTGTTGAGTTTTGTCTTCTAAGAAAAAAACTATTGATAGGTGAGTCTTCAATAACCTGTCTTATGTCTTAAAATTGTAACCGCTACAAGGTTAGCAGTACACCTCAACCTTACACTTACCTTTTTCCTTTACACTGGTTTCAATACCCAACTTATGTGTCCAGCGTGGAAATCATTGAGGGCTTTTCTCTAAAAATACCTAAAAAATTATGTTCAGGAGTAGTAATGATAATGAATTAC